TATTCATATCCGCACTACCAGAGATCACCTCGTAGATCTTCTACGAGCGTACCAGTTGATGTCAATCTTGATAATCCCTTTGGGCCCAATGATGGTTCCTCAATTGTTGCATATCCTGGGAGGCCGTCAATGGGCTTCCCCCAAAATCAGGGACCTGCTCTCCGTCTATTGCTATTATATTCCATTTTTGGCATTTAATGGGATTACTGAAGCGTTTGTGTCATCTGCAGCAAATTCGCAACAGATACGGAAGCAAACAGCGTGGATGGGTGTCTTTTCCGCCTGCTATGCCTTAGCGGCCTATATGTTCCTAGAAGTAGGAAACTTGGGTGCGTATGGATTGGTCCTGGCCAACATTGTGAATATGGTGGTTCGAACTTTTTGGAGTTACAGTTTTATCAAATCGTACCTCCATCGAAATGGATGTAGCCTGTACACGAGTGAGGTGGCCATCCGGCCTGCTAGCTTCATTCTGTGTGCTCTGGCGAGCTGTTTCTTGGGCCGATTTGGCCTGGAATTGGGAATTATCAAAGCATGTGCCTTAAGTGGCAGCTATGCTCTCCTTATGTGAGTACTGATCTGATCTGATGTTGATTTGTTCTTAACGCCTAACGAAATAACATAAAATAATAGAATCTATATAGAAAGGGAATATTTGATGGGCCAATTGACAAGGCTTCGTCACATTTTATCCTCCAGATCCTCCAGCAAAGGCACCAAGTCGGAATAAACCCAATTAATCGTCAAATGTGATCTTTGTTGCTGTTTTGTCCATATCAACGTCCTTGTAAAAGGCACCGTAAACGTCGTGCTGCTTCTTCTTGACTGTTGTGCCAAACTTCAACAGCGCCTCTGGCACATCTTGCTTAGCTGCCTTGAGAACATTGATCAATCTATTTCACCATTAGCATTGCCCTGATAATTCTTCTGTTCAAGGATAGGAGAAATATGAGTAACATACCCGCCAGACAGTCCCTTGTCAGCTTCAGTAAACATAGTGATGGCAAGGCCCTCAGCCCCAGCACGTCCAGTTCTTCCAATTCGGTGCACGTAGTCCTCAACGGTAAGAGGGAAGGTCACATTAATCACCAATTTCACGTTTGGGATATCGAGACCACGCGCCGCCACATCGGTTGCAACAAGAACGGTAGCATTGCCTTTCTTGAAAGCATCAAGATTTCGGAATCTATCGGATTGGTTCAAATCACCATGAATACCGGCGACTGCAAATCCCTTGTTTCTGATAAGATTTTCAATGCGCATAGCCTCCTTCTTGTAGAGGCAGAAAACCAGGACTTTCTCGGGCGATGAATGGCCACGCTGGGATTTAGTGAGCAGTTGCACAAGTCGGCCCTCCTTGTCTCGGCCATCAACAACCTCGACGACCTGCTTGATCCTTGTGTTGGCTCGGGGATCCGCAGATGGGTCTCCGCCAATGGTAACAGTCACCGGGGTCTTCATAAAGGTTGCTGCAAGATCCCGAACTGACCGGGGCCATGTTGCCGTAAACATGACAGTCTGTCTCCTGGAGACGGGCATTGGCTTGACGATGTCCTTGATATCCTGCTCAAATCCTTTGTCAAGCATACGATCTGCCTCATCCAAGACGAGGTAGTTGACCTTTCCAAGATCAATCGAACCATCATTCTGGAGATCCTTGAGACGGCCAGGGGTGGCAACCACAATGGCGGCCTTTTGAAGAGCCCGACGCTGTTCATCTTTACCCACACCACCATAAATGCACGTCACCTGAGTCTTCTCAGTGCCGCCAAATTTAACAAGCTGGTCATAAATCTGCATTGCAAGCTCTCTCGTTGGTGAAATAATCACTGCCTTGGGTTGACAAGGCTTGCTTGGCTTGGAGTCGATCAATTTCTTCAGACACGGCAAGCCAAAACCCAGGGTCTTGCCACTTCCAGTCTCTGCGATACCAATCACATCACGGCCAGCAAAAAGAAGAGGCCAGGTAGTGGACTGAATCGGCGTTGGCGCAGGGAAAGACTTCAACTGAGTGTACAGACCAGCATCACATTCGGGTAGGTGATCAAACGAAAGGATTGGGCGGAATTGGGAGGCGTCGGGTGAGGAAGGATCAGAGATTTTGATCACGTTCTTGGTCAAGAAACTGTCAATTTCTGACTGAGGGATCTCAGATAGAGCAGACGCATCAGAATAAGACGCAGTCTTCTCATCTCCATTTTCCTGCTTATCTTTAGAAGCTTTTGCGGGCTTCTCGGACTTTTCGGACTTGGACTTTTTTTTCGGTCGCTGCTCAGTTGCCTCGAGATGGCTTCGCTTACCCATGATGAGGATTGTAGAAAGAGTATATAACAAAATATTAAAATATTATTGGAATAAAAGATAAAGAGCAGACTGAATTCTCAGCCTGGATTATTCCAGCAGAAAAACAGGAAGAAGAAAAAAAAAAAAAAAAAAGGCAATGGTGTATTGCCATTGGTTTCCGTCTTTGTTGGCTTACCGCCTTACACCTTACACCCGTGGATAGTTCACGGATATACCCCTAGGCCATCCATGGATGTGTATGTATGTTTCTCATCCTGAAACTCCTGTGGTAATGCTCTGCCTAGGTGTGGGGTGATAGCCCAGATTGATTGCTAACACTAAAAGTAACAGTATGATAATGTGTGATAATGAAAATTACTAGTTGAGGCTTTTTTTTAAAATTTCTTGGACATACTAAATAGGCGAGAAAGAACAAATGTAAAGTAAGAAGCCATAAATAGAATGATCATGGCGCAGCTCGAGCAGTATAAAAGTACAGATGAACATTGATGGAAAAGCTCTGAGCGGATGTAGAAATAGTAAAACTAGTACAAGGCTGGACAAAGCTGGACAAAGATATTTCCTTACTTCCCATGTACTCACTCAATGCTGTAGGAGTCAATGATGTTGGCAAGGCGAGTGGCTTCATCCGAGTAATTGATTGCTTGGGAGGATGAGACCTGATATCGCACACTGGATGGCATAATTAGTATGAAGTTCACATGATTGGAATTATTGTCATTTCATCATTCTTACCGCTGCTGGTCGCCGAAATTGTCCATCTGAGCTCGGCATCTGAAGCTCCAGGTCTGGCAATTGGCAGCCTGGAAGACTTCACCAAAAGCAGTTGGATCGTCTTCGCGAAGTTGCATTAACTCGTCGGCCGTTGTGCCCATGATGTTTCTTCCAGTGTCATCAAAACAGCTAAGCCAAAGCTGGCCAGTATGGTCACTGACACTAATAGGCATGATGAAGCGATACTCAGGCTTCGGGTGGGTCTTGTCACACTTTTCGCACCGCCACTGTCCTGGATCAAGTTCCGTTACCTTCTTGTTGCAGTTTTCAGAAAGGCAGGCAGGGTAGCACCAGGTGGAATCCTGCTTGATGTAGATCACAGTTGCTTTCAGGGAGAAGTAATCAGGAGTTTCAGACATGCCAAGCTGCTCTTCACGAATTTGTGCAATGGTTTTGAGCCGATCTGTTTTGCCCGTGGAGTTGGTCGCATTTGACAAGGAAGCATGGGATGCAAAGTTTTCCGACCTGCCTTGAGCGTCATACCAACCTCTGAGTCGGTGAGCCTCCCCAATGTCAGGGTCAACAGTCATTGAGCCCGAACTTAGAAGACTTAAACTCCTTCCGCCAAAGTCAGAAACCTTGACCCCCTTGAAGGCAACAACAGACTCAGGCGCCACACTAAAATTGGTTGCAGTTGCACCCCAGATTGTCAAGCGGACAGAAAATCCTGTGTTATCGACCAGCGTAAGCTCACGTTTATCATATGGTTTGCCGGTGCTTTTTGATGTAATCTGGGAGGTCTCCCCAACATCCTTCAGCACGCCAATGACATCGGTGGTCGTGTCTTTTTCAACAGTCTGCAAATCAGCAACGGTGGTGAAGTTGAATCGAATCTGAGGGACATCATTTTGCTCCTCGGCCTATCACAAAATGTGAGCGACGCATTTGGTTTGTAAAGAGATAGATGTTACCTTCTCAACGATGGTATCTCTCTCAAATGTGAGTTCATAATCGTTGTTGAGATTTGTGAATTGTTTCTTGGCAATTTGGACCCGGCAGGGACTCGAAATGTAATAAACACTGCCCTCCTGGAAGAGTTCATAGAGCATGTCACACTGTTCATTGAAACCGGTTGCTCGAATTTCACCACTGTCGTCCAGCAAATTCACACTGAACAGTTTACCCTCACCATTCTTGTTATGCCATGTTTTGATGCTGGACTTGCTCGTGCATCGCGCTTTCATCGTCCATTTGTTGGAATAAGGGGAGATGGCTTCAATCGGGAAGATTGTGGCATGGGCGGAGGAAGTAGACATAGGGGCGGACATTGGCTGGGCTCGCCTGTTTGGCTGAGCCTGTGCACCCTCCATCTTGGAGCCGTAAAACCCGTTGCTGGATATTGTTGTCGGTTGGCCCACTTCCTCTTCCTCGGCTTTGACTTCAAGTGGTTTAGGTTCACCGATTTTTTCGGCCTCGCCCAGTTCCTTTAGAACCTCAAGGTCCAAGATGATGAGGATTCTATAATAGTCAGCACAATCAAAATTGATAGAGTTCCCTCACATACTTCTTTCCCTTGACAGAGTTTGATTGAAATGACTTGAGTCGTACGAAAGATCCCTTTCGGAGAGACCCATCCGTCACCACCGAGTTGGCTTCTTGAAACAGTCAGTAACCCCGTTACAAAGAGTACCGAAAGGACAGCACATACGAGTAGCAAGCATGGTTTGAACATAGTTTGCAATATCACTGAAAACAGCCCGGTAACGTTCTGGTTGGTTGGGTTGAGCTGGTAATGCCTTGATCTGAACGCATTGAACAATAGGCTCTCGTACTTGGGGTTTGGTTTCATCAAAGATGGCACTGTTAATCAAACACATGATTAACAAATATAGAGATGTTTGTATCAAATGGATACAAACCTTAGAGCCCCAATAGTGACTTGGGATGCTGCCTCGGAAGCCATGATGTGATGAATTCAATTTTCAATAATTGACACAGTCGAGAAAGAAGTATTGGGAAGAAACTGAAAATGATAGAATGAAGGGATAGATCGGGGAAATAAAAAGAGGAAGAAGAAGTAGAGGTAGAGGTAGAAAGCAAAGAAGACCAAACTTGACAGAGCAAGTCCAGATCAAGTTGCAAAGTAGTTGTAGGACAAGGTTGGAAACGCGTGTTGAGAAAAATAACGCGTTAAGTGGCACAACGCCCCCACCACATGACTTGGTGCCTCAGGATAAAATTGATAACAGCACGTGCAGGCGGTGAGGAGCAACCCCACGCATCGTAGCTTTGGCTTGATCTGCGGTATCTGATGTTCTCTCTTTTGTCATCTTTGCTTTCAATGGGATACTGTCACGTCTTCTGAAGTCTCTGTCAAAAAGCCAAGAATTATTATTGGCACTTCGTTCTGAATTCCCGAGATACCCTCTCTGGATATGGCCTCTTGTGTCCATACCGGTGCTGCGGGTTTGTGACATCACCTTGATAATCGCAAATCGAGCTAATGGAGAACACTCCTTTATAGATCTAAATCCACCAGGATCCTCCCAGGCGGTTTATCGAGAAGACTGCACTCAGTGCTTTGATTCTATTGTATGCCAGCCACCTTAGTCCCTATACTACTCTACTGACTCTGACCTTGAAAGGACGATGATGCTGGTCTGAATGTTTGTCTCCATTGCTTCAATGGTGGATGTGCTGGAAACAGAGACCATGCCCTGCTTCATTACAAGAGATTTGGTCATTCACTGGCCTTGAACATTCGAAGGACCCTCAAAAAAGTGCAGGTATAGCCTCCAAACACTTCCTGAGCTTGTGACCAATGATTCTCACACCTCTGATTTATAGCGCGACGAGCCTCCACCGAAAATTTCAAAACTTTCCATCGCAGCCGAAACAGAAGAGGATAGATATGACATTGCTACGTCAGTGGTGTGCTATTCGTGCTCTCAGGACAATGTGGACAAAGCCAGTGGCAAGCTTCCTGCTGTCATTGAAGGTGTTATGACCGCAATGACTTTCTCAAAAAAGGAAGAAGTCAAAGCTTGGGAGCAAGAGTTTGTTCCCTGCGAGCATACACTCTGTCTAGTTCAACAAGACAACACGCAAGCCGTGTCGACGGGTATTGATCCCCTGCAATACTCGACTGGGGCCGGTGCTAACGAAATTGCAGATTCAAACCATTGCTCAGAGTGTGACTTGGGCGAGAACCTATGGCTGTGTCTGGAGTGTGGGAACAAGGGTTGTGGGCGAAGTCAATTCGGTGGGAGCAAGGGAAACTCACATGGGCTTACTCACGCAACTTCAACATCCCATGCTGTGGCTGTCAAGCTCGGCTCTATCACGGCAGAAGGCTCCGCTGATATCTACTGCTATAAGTGCAACGAAGAAAGAGTAGACCCCGAACTGGCGACCCACCTTGCGCACTGGGGAATCTACTTGGCTGGACGTGAGAAGACAGAGAAGAGTCTGATGGAGATGCAGGTCGAGCACAATCTAAAATGGGAATTTTCAATGACGACCGAGGATGGACGGGAGCTGACACCGGTCTTTGGGCCTGCATTTACAGGCCTAGCGAATCTTGGAAACAGCTGCTATCTCTCCAGTATCATGCAGTGCATTTTTTCTGTGGCTGGATTTCGTGAGCGATACTATCAGCTGTCGGAAGAGCCACCACTCTGCCAAGCACCAGCACAGGACCTTGAGACACAATTGAGAAAGCTTGCCGATGGTTTACTCTCAGGCCGGTATTCTCAACCTGATTCTCGCGTTATGTTGTCCGCGAACATCCCAGAAGTCGCTCACCAGAAAGGTCTAGCACCCGCAATGTTCAAGTATCTTATTGGGCAAGGTCATGAGGAGTTTGCGACCATGAGACAGCAGGATGCATTTGAATTTCTTCTTCACCTATTCAAGTCGGTCAGCCTATCGAAACACACCAGCCCGCAGATTAACCCGGTACAGGACTTTCGCTTCCAAGTTGAGCAGCGTCTTCAATGTTTGCATTGCAAGAAAGTCCGCTACAAAGTGGACGAGCAAGATAACATTTCGGTTGCTGTTCCCGCACGTCCTGCTGCCACTTCTGATGCAACAGGAAAGCAATATGAATCTGTGGATTTGTCAGAGTGTCTAGACATCTTTACTTCGACAGAGGTCGTCGAGCTTACATGTCCCTCTTGTGGCAGCCAAGGTGGCTTTTCGAAGCAGTCATCCTTCAAGACATTGCCTCGGGAATTGGTGGTCAATGCTCGTCGGTTTGAGCTCGTCAACTGGGTTCCTACAAAGTTGGATATCCCTGTGCTGGTCGACGATAAGCCACTTGATTTCAGCTCTTACCTTGCTGGTGAGCATGATGCGAGTGAGGAGCAACTCCCGGACATTGAAGAATCCAACATATTTGTCCCGAATCCGGAAGCGCTTGACCAACTAATGGGCATGGGGTTCCCTGCTGTGAGGTGTGGGAAAGCTCTGCATGCCACTGGTAACCTGGATCCGGAAGCTGCCATGAATTGGCTGTTTGCCCACATGGAAGATCCAGACATTGATGAACCGCTGGTGCTCGATCGAGTCGGAACCTCTAGTTCTACTGCGCAAGATGCGACAAAAATTGCCCAGCTAGGAGATATGGGAATTGAAGCGTCTCGTGCCCAGAGAGCATTGGCTGCGACCGACGGCGATGTTAACAGGGCACTTGATTGGGTTTTCACTCACCCAGATGATGTGGTGGAAAAGGAAGAGCCGGGTGTCGGCGATCACGACGCACCGTCTCATGGTGGCTCGGTTGGTATCACCAGCTTACCCGCTCGCTATGAATTAAGGTCGATTGTATGCCACAAAGGCACATCTGTTCATGCAGGGTGAGTTGTTTGATATATTTCTATTCTCATTTCCTTGGGTTAAACTAACACATGCTAAGGCATTATGTTGCTGTGATTCGCAAAACATTTCCAGGTCAAAATGGCCTGTCTTGGGTGATGTTCAATGATGAAAAGGTTGTCAAGTTCGAAGATATCGAGGCGATGAAGAAAACCGCATATCTTTACTTCTTCACACGGGTCTAGTGGTGTTTTAGGGTCCCTAGGTCAACCCTGGTGCACCTATGTTGTTCTCTTGTGATATTAGCACGTAAGTAGACGGATTAAATATCTATGCTTTGTTTTATCTCTACCCTATATGGATATCCCTGGGTACTTTTAAAATAGTCCTATCCGATTCTCAATGACAGAAATTGCCGTGTACAACAAAGATAGGTATAATAGAGACGTTTGGCAAGCCACTCTATTTACTAATGCATTTAGGTAGGCAGGGCTTGGGGTTTAAATTATTTCCAAGATTTATTTTAATCTGTGATTACTAACCTGTAGATGGATTACGATATCACCCATGGACGGGCGGGTGGGCATTGCCCACGGGCCTCATGTGAGCGGGAAATAGGCCCTATCGAGAGGCTTATGGACGGGCCGTGGGCGTCGTAGGCGCCCGTGGGCCTTTTTGTTGGGTAAAATTCCTTTAACCTCGTAAGTCATAATGTTTATGTTTTTTTTCTGTATATATTTAAATAATTTGATATTATATATATAGTAGTAGTAGTAGTAGAATGTAGTAGGTTTAGAGGCCTTTATATAATAACTTAATATACAATTACTTTTTTAACCAGGGTTAGAAATAAGCTTTGACAGCGTTTATATAATAACTTAAGTATTTATTATAGTTATATATTTATACTAATATAAAAATTAATTATTACTAGATTTATTACGCTATGGTGGATAAAGATCCTTACGGCTTGGAATAGACCCCAGCAGAGCCTATTTTAGGTCAGAGCCTCCGACCAAAACCCAACCTATTAGGTTTGGGGTTTCACCCTCTGTAACCTAACCTAGCCCAAACCCAATTAGTTGAACCTAATAGCCTAATAATAACCTATTTAAACCCATTTTTATATAAAATATAGGTCTTAGCGTTTATAACGATACTAAGTTATTTAAATAACTATTTTTTATAAGTATTCTAGTTTATTTATCGAATATTACTATATTATCACTAGACCTGGCAGTGACCCGCGGGTGACCCTCACGACTCTCGAACCGCCCCGCCACTGGGGCGGTTCGAGGGTCCAACCTTCCGACCCTGAGGGTAGTCTACCTAGAGGTTGGACCCTCGGAGGGTCGTTAAACAAGATAAACAGGAAAATCTCGTGATATATATAATTTATATAGATTTGCCCTATATTTTTGAGTATCCTGATTACACGTCCGAAGTTCTTTAATATTAATTTTTGGTAGTATATTATTATAAAAACTTACATTATATTCTTAGACCTGGTTCCTATCTACTAGACTACTATATATCTATTAAGCCTTTTTGAAACCTTCCGAACTCTTCTAGACGATCGAGGGAGAGGAATTTCGCCCTCTTTATCTATAATATCCTTAGCACTAGATTATATCTTATCGCCTTTGCTTAGTAAGCTACTTCTTTATCTCCTCCTAAGTATAATATTAGATAATAGTTATAAAGTAGGTAGTAACTATACTACTTACTTCTATTAAAGCTATAATCTCCTAGGAAGATAGGTACTCTTAGAGAATTAGCCGCTAATTCTCCTATAGATTAAATCTTATTATATGTATAAATATTATAATAATATAGATTATCTTTAGCTTTAGTAAACCTCGCCGGTAATAATAAATATTACGTATAAAGTTAAATAGTCGCTCTATATCTATACTAGTAGCTAGGATAGATATAATATTATAGGTAGTATTTATAAGAATCGGCTATTTATATTAGTTTTCTTTCTAGAATATACGAGGTAATAAACGCTATAGGGCTAGATATTTATTAATATTAGTTAGATATAAAGAATAAGGATAGACCGTTAGACTTACCGGAATTAAAATATTAAGTTAGCTTATCCTCCTATAGAGCGATAGACTACTAGGAGTTATTTAACTCTAATATAGATTTAAGCTCGGATATTCTAACCCTAAATAATAGACTACTTAGTAATAACTAACTATCCCTGCTATTAATCCGCTCCTTATAGCGCTTAACCTAAATCTTAAGACTATCTCGGTAAATAGCCTTCTAGCTAGCTTCGCTAAGATTATCTAATTCATATTCTTTTACCAAAAAGTATTAAAGCTTTTAAGATAGAGATAAAATTATACTAATAATATAAAGATACCTATCGATACTATCTATATCTTTATAGTATTTTAAAAGCTTTTCTAATATAGCTTTAAGAGTAAATTATATAAGCTATTTCTATAGAACCTTCTTCTAAGTATAACGATCGCTTTCTTAAGATAGTTAAAAAGGCTGTTAT